CAGAAATTTTAATTAAAAAAAAAATTGTTTTTCTACCAGTTATGCTTGTTTCACTAGGGAAACAGTCCATGGATATTTCTCACTGCTATCTAGGAAATAGAACTCTTATCATAACTTAAAAACTTACTAGTCTGTCTTTTAGTGCATACTTTTTAAAAAATCTAAGTTTGAATGATTATATTATTTTTTCATGATTAGGCTTGACAAATGTTTGTCTAAGTTTTAACTGGAAATGGTTGCACACACCTGTCATCCTAACTACTTAGAGGCTGAAGCCAGGAGATTTATAAGTTCAAGGCCAGCCTCATCACTTAGTGAGATCTTATCTCAAAATAAAATTTTAACAAAGGCTAAACATGGGGCTGAAGCTGTAGCTCAGTGGTAGAGTGCTTGCCTCACACGTGTGAGGCACTGGGTTCAATCCTCAGGACCACATAAAAATCAATAAAGATATTGTGTCCATCTACAACTAAAAAAAAAAAAATTTTTTTTTAAAGAAAAAAGGGAACTAAGAATGGAACTCAGTGGTAGAATGCTTTCCAGCATGTACAGGCCCTGAGTTTAAACCCAATACCACTGAAGAGAAAAACAAAGAGAAATCAAGGTATCAGTTTTTGGAAATGGAGACACACACACACACACACACACGCATACACACATTTTTTACTTTTTTAAATGGCTTTTTAAAGTATAAAATTGCCAGATGCAGTGGTGCATGCCTATAACCCCAGCGACTTTGGAGGCTGAGGAAAGAGGATCACAGGTTCAAGGCTAGCCTCAGCAACTTACTGAGGTCCTAAGTACCTTCACGAGATCCTACCTCAAAAGATAAAAAGGGCTGGAGATGTGACTCAGTTGTTAAAAGTGTCCCAGGGTTCAATCCCTGGTACAAGAAAAATAAAAGATAATAAAAAGATTAAAATTAATTTGTTTTTACATTTATTACTTCTTATACACTAACAGTTATTTGCTCTATTTATTTTAATGATTCCCTTACTCTTTACCTAAAATCTTAATTTTTTTTTTCTTTTACTTTTGAGACTGGATTTCACTGTGTTAGCCAGTCTGGTCTCAAACTTGTGATCCTTCTGCCTTAGCCTCCCAAATTGCTGAGATTATAGGTGTGCACTCCTATGCCAGGCTCTAACTAAAATCTTAAAAACTAGGTTTTATTTTTTTTATTATTATTATTTTTTATTGTGGGTTGTTCAAAACATTACAAATTTCTTGACATATCATATTCCACACTTTGATTCAAGTGGGTTATGAACTCCCACCTTCACCCCATACACAGATTACAGATTCACATCAGTTACACATCCATTGATTTACAAATTGCCATACTAGTGTCTGTTGTGCTCCACTGCCTTTCCCATCATCCACCCTCCCCCCTCCCCACCTCTCCCCTCCCCTCCCCTCCTCTCTCTCTACCCCCTCCACTGTATAACCCTGAGGGTCTCCTTCCATTACCGTGCAATTTCCCTTCTCTCTCCCTTTCCCTCCCACCTCTCATCCCTGTTAAATGTTAATCTTCTTCTCCTGTTCTTCGTCCCTACTCTGTTCTTAGTTACTTTCCTTATATCAAAGAAGACATTTGGCATTTGTTTTTTAGGGATTGGCTAGCTTCACTTAGCATAATCTGCTCTAATGCCATCCATTTCCCTGTAAATTCTATGATTTTGTCATTTTTTAATGCAGAGTAATACTCCATTGTGTATAAATGCCACATTTTTTTTATCCATTCGTCTATTGAAGGGCATCTAGGTTGGTTCCACAGTCTTGCTATTGTGAACTGTGCTGCTATGAACATCGATGTAGCAGTGTCCCTGTAGCATGCTCTTTTTAGGTCTTTAGGGAATAGACCAAGAAGGGGAATAGCTGGGTCAAATGGTGGCTCCATTCCCATCTTTCCAAGAAATCTCCATACTGCTTTCCAAATTGGCTGCACCAATCTGCAGTCCCACCAGCAATGTACAAGTGTACCCTTTTCCCCACATCCTCGCCAGCACTTGTTGTTGTTTGACTTCCTAATGGCTGCCAATCTTACTGGAGTGAGATGGTATCTTAGGGTGGTTTTGATTTGCATTTCTCTGACAGCTAGAGATGGTGAGCATTTTTTCATGTACTTGTTGATTGACTGTATGTCCTCCTCTGAGAAGTGTCTGTTCAGGTCCTTGGCCCATTTGTTGATTGGGTTGTTTGTTCTCTTATTGTCTAATTTTTGAGTTCTTTGTATACTCTGGATATTAGGGCTCTATCTGAAGTGTGAGGAGTAAAGATTTGTTCCCAGGATGTAGGCTCCCTATTTACCTCTCTTATTGTTTCTTTTGCTGAGAAAAAACTTTTTAGTTTGAGTAAGTCCCATTTGTTGATTCTAGTTATTAACTTTTGTGCTATGGGTGTCCTATTGAGGAATTTGGAGCCCGACCCCACCGAATGTAGATCGTAGCCAACTTTTTCTTCAATCAGACGGTGCGTCTCTGATTTGATATCAAGCTCCTTGATCCATTTTGAATTCACTTTTGTGCATGGCGAGAGAAAGGGATTCAGTTTCATTTTGTTGCATATGGATTTCCAGTTTTCCCAGCACCATTTGTTGAAGATGCTATCCTTCCTCCATTGCATGCTTTTAGCCCCTTTATCAAATATAAGATAGTTGTAGTTTTGTGGATTGGTTTCTGTGTCCTCTATTCTGTACCATTGGTCCACCCGCCTGTTTTGGTACCAGTACCATGCTGTTTTTGTTACTATTGCTCTGTAGTATAGTTTGAAGTCTGGTATTGCTATACCGCCTGATTCACACTTCTTGCTTAGCATTGTTTTTGCTATTCTGGGTCTTTTATTTTTCCATATGAATTTCATGATTGCTTTCTCTATTTCTACAAGAAATGCTGTTGGGATTTTGATTGGCATTGCATTAAACCTATAGAGAACTTTTGGTAATATCGCCATTTTGATGATGTTAGTTCTGCCTATCCATGAACAGGGTATATTTTTCCATCTTCTAAGATCTTCTTCTATTTCTCTCTTTAGGGTTCTGTAGTTTTCATTGTATAAGTCTTTCACCTCTTTTGTTAGGTTGATTCCCAAGTATTTTATTTTTTTTGAAGATATTTTGAATGGAGTGGTTGTCCTCATTTCCATTTCAGAGGATTTGTCGCTGATATACAGGAATGCCTTTGATTTATGCGTGTTGATTTTAAATCCTGCCACTTTGCTGAATTCATTTATTAGCTCTAATAGTTTCTTTGTAGAGCCTTTTGGGTCTGCTAGATATAGAATCATATCATCTGCAAATAGTGATAATTTAATTTCTTCTTTTCCTATTTTTAGGTTTTATTTTTTGTTTGTTTGTTTATTTGTTTTGTTTTTACTAGTTTGGTTAGTCCAGTATTGGGCAGTAACAGCAAAAGTATTCTTTGTTGTTGTTGTCTTTGTTTTTTGGTGCTAGAGATTGAATCTAGAGTACTTAGCCACTGAGCCACATCCCTAGCCCTTTTTTATGTGTTTTGTTTGTTTGTTTGTTTGTTTGTTTTGAGACAGGGTGTGGATAAGTTTTTAGGGCCTCACTAAGTTACTGAGGCAGCTTTGAATTTGCAATCCTCCTGCCTCAACCTCCTGAGCTGCTGGGATTACCTGGCCCATGTTTGCTTTTGTTCATAGAGTAATTAATGAAACCTTTCTGCCAAAGGCTATTTTTCTACATCTAGTTGATTTTGTCATTTTGTTGTTGTTGTTTGTTTGTTTGTTTGTTTGCTTGTTTTTGCATTCTTCCTTCTTACTGCTTCATCTGACCCTAATCCTATGAAATCAAGATTGTTAGCCACTGTTATTAGCTTTTGATCTTTTTGTGGTATATTTTTCCTCCTGTTATTGGTGATTTCCTATGCTTCAATGAAACCTCAGCAGTAAAGGGGACTTCAGGTGTAGGAGTTCTTGTGTGTCCATTTGTCCATCTTGAATATTCTTGGGGTTCTGCGACTCTTCCTATTGATTTGGAGAAGAATTATAGTAAGATGGGTAAGAACCTATGGCTCTTGCAGCTACCCTGCTTGGACTAGAATCCCAACTCTTCCACAACATCATAGAGAGTTTCTCAGAAGCATTCATTGCAATTCAACCTTTGATGATTTCAGTTTGTACTTCCTATTTTGTCTCATCCCATTTATACTATTTCTTGAATAAATTAAGTATGGAATATGTGGCTGTTTTTCTTTCTCAGAGCCTTTGCAGATAAAAGACTTTTTTCTTTTCTGAATATTAAATGGGAAGGAAGGACTAGAGTTTTGTGATCAAATCACATATTTTTCCAGAAGTTTTTCATTTGTTTCTTGGCTTATGCTATACATTATCATAGTTTCAGTTCTGTACTTTAATTGTAAATAAAATAAAAACCTAAGTCAGTCTCTTTGCTGTTAGCTGTTGGGCCTGTCCTTGGCCCTATTGCAGTACTTGTTCTTTATTACCACTCACATCTGTCAGCCATGGATTTGGCTCCCAGTTTTGAGTTGGTGGCTAATATACTCTTACCTCTTTCTTCGTATGTTTGGCTGCATAGGACTTCTCCAACTGGAAGTTTTATAGGTATTTCAAACTGCATATTCAAATTTTCATGCCTCTCGTCCTCCATCCTGCCTGTTCTCTTATTTTTCCTTTGCTACTAGATCACACAACTATCTGGGCAGATTTTGAGCCAGATACCTGTGAGTTAGGTCCAACTTTTTTATCTCTGTCACAGCCCAGTAAAAGTCATCGTCTTTCTGACTCCGTAGTTTCATCATCTAGCTTATGATGAATTAATGTTTGCTGACTCAGTAATTGACATACAGGATATTTCTAATGTAGTGCAGTCTCCTCATCATATAATACAGGTAAATATAAAGTCCTAATTAACAGGTTTTAATGATCTCTGACCCCAGGATACTAAACTATTTCTACTTATCTTGACAACATCCCTTAGTTTCTGTTGCTTCTAATTAATTAGGATTGTATTTTTATAGGAACCAGTGACATTTAAAGATGTGGCTGTGGACCTCACCCAGGAGGAATGGCAGCAAATGAAACCTGCTGAGAGGAACTTGTACCGGGATGTGATGCTAGAGAACTATAGCAACCTTGTCATAGTGGGTAAGGATAGTTTTATAGTTAACACAGAATTCCTTTCCCTTTCTAAAACTTGTGGAGACATGAGTTTGCCAGATGAGCCTAGCCCTCCCTTTCTTCACATGATATTTTTGTGCCAAGATGGTCAGGGTAAAGACTGATTACAAATACTTTATATTGAGGCTGGGGTTGTGGCTCAGCTGTAGAGCGCTCACCTAGCACGTGTGAAGCCTTGGGTTCGATCCTCAGCACCATGTAAAAATAAATAAATAAAATAAAGATATTTTTAAAAAATACTTTATGTCATTCTGAAAGCTCTCATCCTTTTTAAGCCCTCAAGACTCAGCCCAAGACATTATATGGTTGTCTCCAGCAGTAACATCCACTCTCTTTGCTGTTTCACATGGTAGGTTTTCAAGTCACCAAACCAGATGTGATTTTCAAGTTGGAACAAGAAGAGGAGCCATGGGTGATAGAAGAAGAAATGTTTTGGAGGCATTCTCCAGGTGAATAAGTTAAAAGTAGACCTAAGTGAGAAAGCCACATGACAGTTGTTCAGCGAACGGTTGCTACTGTTATACATTTTCCAAGATTTTTCTAAAGGTCCCTGTTGTCTAGAGTGACAAATAGTATGAGCGCCTTGCATTATTGTGACACTTCTGGGTATTATTCTTCCCATATTGGGCACTGTCTTCCCTTTTTCAAATTTTAGAGGACCATGTTTAGTAGTCCCGTCTGATTTCAGGATACTAGACTTCCCTAATTCATTTTCAACTTCCTTTCAGGATTGTTGTCGTCTGTGGTACTTGGACTCTCTCTCCTTTATGTTCGGCATTTTGTTTTCTTATGCATTCAGTATTTTGTGGATGTATAGTATTTTTAAAACATGTTTATCCCACAATTAGATTTCTTTAGTTTCTTCTTTCCATTTTGAATAGCTTAAAAGGTGTGTTTTGTAACAGTTGTTACATTTCCCACTAAAATTCATAATCCTTATAATCCCATGGTTTAGAAATATATTTGTAGTTTAGAAATCCCACAGGATTAACTTTCAGCACATTAACTTTTTACCATCTTTATAATGAAGTTTTCTATTCCTGCTTTACAGGAATAGAAATTTAGTTTAATTTTTGATAGTATAGTATATGCTTGGTTAAAAAATAAAAATAATCCAAAAGATATATTGAAAAGTAAATTTCCCTTATCCTTAGCACTTAGTCCCTTCCTTTCATCAGTTGTATACAGTTCATTTTTGAGTATTGTCCTGGCTAGTCTGTTTTTTGTTTTTGTTTTTGGTATGAGGGATTAAACCCAGGGGCACTTAACCACTGAGCCATATCCCCAGCTGTTTTTGTTTTTCTCACTAAGTTGCTCAGAGCCTTGTTGAGTTGCTGAGGCTGGCTTTGAACATGGAATCCTCCTGCCTCACCATCCCCAGCCACTAGGATTATAGGCATATGCCACTGTTCCCAGCTTTCCAGGCTATTCTTGATGGATTATTGTACCATATGAATAGTTTTAGACTTAATTTGTTTTTCCTGATATAAACCTGTAGAATTTTAATGAGCTTATGCTAGATATATGAATTAACTTTCAGCACGTTGACTTTTTGCCATCTTTATAATGAAGTTTTCTCTACAAAACTGTTGTGTGTTTGTGTATATCTACTTTTGTGTCATTCAGAAGGGGAGCTTTGAAAGTTTTTACTTTATGGCATGGTACATTTCTCTTTAAGCTTACCTATGTGTTAGACAAGAGAACAAGAAGCTCTATTTAAGAATTGAAAAGAAAGTTATAAAACCATCTTTATTTACAGATGATAGGATTGTATATATTAGGAAAAAGAAAGAGAAACAACTGAGAAAGTGCAACAAATAGAGAATCCAGTTATGTGGTAAGATATCAAATTAACAAAAATTGGTAGCTTTTATGTATGCTTTAGCCAAGAAGATACAAAAGAAAGGAAACCATATTTATAGTAGTGACATTAAGGATGAAATAACTATTCTGGGCATGGACAAGGAACAGTATATAAAACAAAGTCCTTCCCTCATGGACCTGGAGTTTCTGAGGGCCAGGTATGTGACTTAGTGGTAGAGTGCTTGCCTGGCATGCATAAGGTCTTAGGTTCAATTCCCAGCGCTGCAAAAACAAATAAAGAAATAGAGTTCCTGAGATTTTTTAACATAAGAAAATACCTTTTTAATTTTTGATTGATAATTGGCCATTTTTTATTTATTTATTTATTTATTGTGGTATTGGAGATTGAATCCTGGGGTGTTTTACCATCGACTTACGTCCCTAGCCTTTCCTCTTTTTTTTTATTTTGAGAAGTGGTGTGGCTAAGTTACTTAGGGCTTCACTAAGTTGTTGAGGTTGGCCTAAATCTTGCAGTCCTGCCTCAGCCTCTGGAGTTGCTGGGATTACAAGTGTGTGTCTCCACGCCCTATGCTATATCTTGCACCATGCTTTTTTCTCCAATACATGGTTCCCTGACAATGTTAGAGAATTTTCTTGCTTCCTACCTTTTAATGTTGCTTGGAGAAGCAGTGTGATAATTTCCTGTAAAATACCACTTTTTCCCCCTTGCATATTCATAGGTTTGTTTTGTTTTCCTTAAAATTTTAGAATTTTATGAGTCTGTGTCTTCGTATTGATCAGTCAGGATTAATTTTTCCTTTCAACTTATGGATTATGTTTTTTGTTTCTTACAGCATCATTGTTTAAACTTCATGCTGAGTCCTTTTGTTCATCATTAAATGAGGGTACTTCCTCCTGCATCTACTATTTATAGAAGGATAGTATGGAAAATTATTGGAGAAATTGCTCTGAGCTGGTAGGAAGCCTCTTTATCTCACACTGCTGTCCTTATCATACAGTGTTTTGTGATGAGTGTTGGTTTACCCTTTCCCACAGATCAAAGAGAGATTATTGTTTCATGCTTCCTTTAGAACTCAGTGTCTCTTCTATCCTCCTATGCAGGTATAATGTTTACTTGCATCTCCTTATTCAAATTCTGCCTTCCCTACCATTTATCAGGGCCAGTTGGATTCATTATGTTGCAGTCAGTATAACTGGATCCCATTGTTACAAAGGCTGTACCTCTGTTTTTGAGAACTCTGACCCCTGCACTTACAGTCCTGAGATAAGAAACAACAGCCACTATCTCTGGGTTTCTTCTCTACCTCAACTAGTCTGTTCTCTGTTCTTGTATTCTGGAACTGGAATTTATCTGCCCCTTTTTGGGGAGAAGGGAGTGCTGGAAATTGAACCAAGTGGCACTCTACCATTAGCTACACCCCCAGTTCTATTTATTTATTTATTTATTTATTTATTTGCTTGTTTTTGGTATCAGGGGTTGAACTCAGTGACACCCAACCACTGAGTGACATCCTCAGCCCTATTTTTGTTTTTTATTTAGAGACAGGGTCTCACTCTGTTGCCTAGCACCTCACCATTGCTGAGGCTGGCTTTGAACTTGTGATCCTCCTATCTCAGCTTCCTGAGTTGCTGGGATTATAGGTGTGTGTACCATGTCCAACTTTAGCTGCTTTTTAGTTTTATTGAAAATACATTTTCTGGGGCTGGGGATGTGGCTCAAGCAGTAGCGCGCTCGCCTGGCGTGCGTGCGGCCCGGGTTCGATCCTCAGCACCACATATAAACAAAGATGTTGTGTCCGCCGAAAACTAAAAAATAAATATTAATATTCTCTCTCTCTCTCTCTCTCTCTCTCTCTCTCTCAAAAAAAAAAGAAAAAGAAAAAAAATACATTTTCTGCTTCTTAATGTCTGCAGAGTAGAGAGGAGATGGAGATGTTTAATTACACAATATTGAAATAAAACATCCTCCATGCTATATTTCATTCTGTGGCTCACCCTTTTTGGAAATATCTTTCTTCTTTAATCCTCTCTAAAGGATTAATATTTTTTTCTTGGTTTCTGTTCATTGTTTATTTCTGTCTTTTTTTAATGAAGAGTCCATAACTCCTTTTTGAGTCACATCACATCTCCCAAAACAGTTCTAAATTGCAAATTGGCATTTTTCCTCTCTGTACCTTCATGATGCATCTGGATTCTTCTCATTAACTCATTGTTTAACTCCAATAATGACAGTATTAGAATACGTATCTTTTATGTTTCCAAAATTGTGGACCTCTTCACATCTTTGCTTTTAATTATGAGTGCTCTTACCTTTCCAGGTTCTCGCAGTTATTAAATGTTGAACTTAGTTTCTGATAAATGGTCTTCTATCTTGCCTAACTCTAAACTAACATTCTATTTCCTCTCTACCAGGATTTTTGATTCTGAAAACATGTACTCTCTTTTATATAAGTTTCCCCATTTTGATGTCCAATAATACTTAAATTACCAAGAGAAAAGCCTGTGCTTTATTCCTGAAAATGATTCATGAGTTGATTGTGATAGAACTATATTTGGAGAGATTTTTATTATTGTGTTTAAAGATTTACCTACATTAATTTACTGTGGTATGCAGAATGAAAAAAAGACTTGTGAGGATAATGTGATAGGTGACCTGATCAAAAGTAATAAGATAGTGCCAAACTTGTTTCATCTATAACCTCTGTTCCCCCACCCTCTGTTTTGTTTTTGAGTTGGGGGTTTTACTGTGTTCTCAAGCTGATCTCTAACTTGTGTGCTAAAGGAATCTTTTTGCCTCAGTCCCCCCTAAGTAGCTGGAACAACTGGTGTGCACGCCATTGCATCCAGCTTTGTTTCATTGCCAAAGTGTTTCACATTTCTCCCTTAAGTGGCATTCCATGCCAGTAGATAAGATTTTTTAAAGTATTACCATCACACCTAACAATGTTAATAATAATTTCTTACTATTATCTGAGACCTAATCTCTGTTCATGTTTTCTTGATCATCACAAGAATATCTTTTTATGACTGGCTTATTAGAATCAGGATTCAAATAAGGTTCATACATTGCATTTGGTGGATTATTGCTCACTTTTGTTTTAGTCCACACTTCCCCTAAACCTGTTTTCCCCCACTCTCTTATTTGGGTAGAAACCAATTTATTGCTATTCTAAATGTCAGCAACTTTTCTCATTAAAGGGCCAGAAAATATACAGCAATCACCTCCCATCCACAGTTTCACTTTTTGCTATTTCAATTACCTATGGACAGCTGTCGTCCAAAAATATTCAGTGGGATAAGTCCAGAAAAAAACAATGCCTAAGTTTTAAATTGTACACCATTCTGAATAGAGTTCAAAGCTGTGCCAACACCACCTTGGAAGTGAATTATTACTTTGTTCAGTGTAACCAGGCTGTGTACACTATCTGCCTGTTAGTCACTTAGTAGCCTTCTTAGTCATCAGATGGATGATCACAATATCATAGTGCTTGTCTTCAAATAACCTTTCTTTTTTTTTTAAAGAGAGAGAGAGAGAAAATTTTTTTAATATTTATTTTTTAGTTTTCGGCAGACACAACATCTTTGTTTGTATGTGGTGCTGAGGATCGAACCTGGGCCGCACGTA